ATGTCCACCACCGCCTAGTTGGTCCGGAACTTCTGGCAAGAACTTATCTAAGTGCACAACACAACAGGCTTGAGCACGTCTAGTGGTTACGTGACCTGAGCACGGCTAGTGGTACGTGACCTGAGCACGGCATCCACAATTTCAAGTGTAGATATGATAGAGCCCAATAGGCTCAGGAATCTGTATACCTGTTGATTGACGGTTGAGAGGCGGGACCAAAGAGCCAGAGCTCAACCCCCGCAAACACAACTAGGTGTTTGCGCGCGCGCGCACACACACACACACACACGCACACACGGAGGCACAATACCCTCCCCTCCACCATGAAGACAGGTTCTGCCGTCATTAACACCGCCGTGACCCCAGACAGCGTGTAGTGAGAACATGGCTCTACACCAACCGTTCCTCTCTCACACACAAGCATCCTGCCACATACACTGCCTCACACACACGCATGCACCGTGTCAGCGAGGCGGACAGGCCGCCGCCTATCATAACTCATTCTATATTTACTGCCATTTTTTAAACTTTCCCTTCGCCTGTGCCTCTCCATCTTGTTTACTGCCTGTCAGCTTGGTGAGGGTGGTTGAGAACCCCGCCACCTCACGCCACGCTCACCTCCTACCCTGGCACACACAACTCTCAATATCTTCACAACACATAAGCTTAAATATTACAAATCTAATAAAAAATTCGTCTATTGGAAATTCTAATAGACGGCATTAAATGTGCCGAGTTGTTTGACAGAGCGACACAGAAAGACGGCTGCCTCGCCCCGCCCTCACAGCAAGACGCTACTGAATGACAAGACAAGTATAAGACTCGTCAGATAATGGTCATTACAGTTAGGTGTCAGCAAATGTCATGTAGTAGAGCTGGCAGGACCAGGCCAGGCACCCGGCACCTGGGGATACGGCCTCCTCACCACACCCGTCACCCACACCGTGTGGCTGGCGGCCCAGATCACTGCACGGGAAGAACAGGTGCTGGAAGCCACCTCCGTATCCACGGTTTAAAGCGCAGGCAGGACGAGAACACTAGAGGGCCGGTATATATAACCGCACCGGGTAATACAAGTGTATGAAGCGGGACCCAACAACCTGATCTCCCACTGCTGACGCCTTGATAGGTGAGCACACGCGCGCCACCCCCCCCCCCACCCACCCCCAGCCTGGTGTCAAGTCTGCCACCCACCCACCCCACCCACCCACACACGCCAAGCATGTGGTTACCGCCTCCACCCACCGAGGGGGGGGGGAGGTTAAAGCCTCCACCCACCGGGGGGGGGGCAGGTTACTGCAGTTTCGTAGGTTAACAGTAGTGTGATTTTGATAAAATAATTTAAGATGTATAAGAGAAGGTAGGTTGTAAGAGCAGGAGGCAGGTCACAGCCCCGCTCCTGTGCCAGGTAAGTCCACTACGGGCTCACCATAGCCCGTGCTACTTGCAACTTTGTGCTCCCTGTGGCTGAATGTAAAGCAACACCACGGAGAGCACTGCTGGAGCCACACGCGGCCTCACCCGGCTAACGTGACAACAGAGGTCGAGAGGGGTGATGAATGGGGAAAATATGAATTCCAGTTTACCTTGTAAATATGCCGTGGGTCGAGGAGCACACAGTGGGCACGGAGACCAGCCAGGAGCTGGTCCAGCAGCAGCACCGGCCGGGACCCGCACCTCACTCCTCCCGACAAAGCTCCGTCAGTATCTACCCGCCACCATACTGCTTCACTGCCTCCCTCCCTCACCCTCCTGTCTGGCTACCAGAAATAACGTCGATTTAACCATTAGAATTTCCTGTGTCATCTTAGCAGCGGGGAGGGAGGCGCGCACTGGTGTCCCCCGCAACGGTCGCCTATCTTCACGGCCCCACGTCAAGGGACGTGGGAGGAGGGGGGAGGGAGGGGGCAGGTACGGAGAGCACGTGCACCACGCCCACACCTCACGCCGCCTGGTATTTCCCAAATAAGTAGTAGAGGGCGGAAGAAGACTCGCATATCGGCGATGCCGGTGTCTTCTAACTGTGCCGATGATTGCCTCGTCTATCACCGCCTCCAGGATCTCTCACTTTAGTCTGTTACTGGTTGCAGGAATCAACCTCCCCGCGGCCCTGTCTCTGATCAGGCATCCTGGTTAGTGGTCCGGTCAACCAAGCTCTGGAATGAAGCTTCTTGCAGCCTGAGGTATGATTCACGTCCTGGATGATAGGTATCTTTTGGAGGACTTTATTAAGTCGAACGCGGTGTGAGATCGGCCAGTTGTGGCTCTTATGTATAGTGTGTTGAAAAGTCTTAGGCCCTTTATGTTGACAGTTCTCTCTCAGATTACCTGGAGAGAGAGAGAGAGAGCGTACCTATTACACCTCTGCTTTTCAACGGGGGGTCTTCTGCACATCCTGCCATGCCTCCTGGTCTCACGTAGTCTTATTTCCGTGTGCAGATTTGGGACTAGTCCCTCTAATATTTTCCAAGTGTAAATTATTACATCTCTCGCCTGCGCTGTAGAAATATGTTTACAATTTTTTGAGCGGTCCAAATAATTTTGATGTTTTATAGAGTAGATTCGAACAGTCACAGACCTTAGCACGTTATTTAGCTTTGAATGGGGCTGTTAGTGTGCCACAGTATTCCACCCTAAGGAGCACAAGTGTCTTGAAAATCAATCTCATGTTAATCAGGTCATTCAATGGGCCACAGATAATAATATGTTTAATGAAGACGAGTTCCAACTCCTGCGCTATGGAAAAAATGTAAATCTAAAAACGGAAACCGTATATAAAAGGTAATAAAAACACTATGGAACGAAAAAGCAACGTAGAGAATCTTAGGAATAATTATGTCTGAAGACCTTACCTTTAGAGAACACAATAGGGTAGCTGTCACACCTGCAAGTAAAATGACAGGTTGGATAACGAGACCCCTTCATAACAACTAATGCCATACCAATGATGATACTGTTTACACACTAGTGCTCTCTAGGGTGGAATATTGTTACACACTAACAGACCCATTCAGAGCCGGAGAAATTGCTGACCTGGAGAGTGTGTGCAAAGATCCTCTACGGCAAGAATCCACTCCTATAAAACTTCTAAATTATTGGGACCGATTAAAATGTTTAATACAGAGATACATAATAATTTACACGTGGAAATTATTAGAGGGACTGGTTCCAAATCTACTCACAGAAATAACACCTTACGAGACCAACAGGCATGGCAGGATATGCAGAATTTGAAGAGCAGAGGTGAAACAGGTACGCTGAGAGAATTTATAACAAAGGTCAAAGAATTTTCAACACAAAGTTCTACAAATCAGGAGCATAACTGGCCGACCCGTCACAGTGTTGAAGAAAAAGCGATAAACACCTCCAAAGGTTACTTGATCATCCAGGCTGTGATTCATTCTTCTGGCTGCGAGCAGCCGCGTCCAACAGCCTGGTTAACTAGACAACCAACCAGGAGGCCTGGCAAGAGACCGGGCCACGGGGACGTTGATCCTCGGAATAACTACAAAGTGATTCAATGAACGTACTTCAACTTCAACCCCCCCCCCTCTCCCCTCCACCCAACACGTTCATCCGAGAGGGTTTAAAGTGTCGAACCACTGCATTTAAGTGTTCAAAATGGGAAACTTTCAAGTTTATTTTCAATTATATGTTATATTTCTTGTTGAAAGTCAGCGTTACGTCACACAATTCTTAAACATTTAATATAAAGAATCTAAAATAACGTATTTGTGATTAAAATCAAAACGTGTCGCATTTCAATTTTTTAAGTGAGCCCTAAGTCGAGCCCAGTCCTGGGCCCCTGTGGTGGGGGCCCCTGTGGTGGGGGCCCCTGTGCTGGGGCCCCTGTGGTGGGGGCCCCTGTGCTGGGGCCCTGTGGTGGGGGCCCCTGTGGTGGGGGACCCTGTGCTCAGGGCCCCTGTGCTCAGGGCCCCCTGTGCTGGGGCCCTGTGGTGGGGGCCCCTGTGCTGGGGGCCCCTGTGGTGGGGGCCGCTGTGCTGGGGGCCCCTGTGGTGGGGGCCCCTGTGGTGGGGGCCCCTGTGGTGGGGGCCCCTGTGGTGGGGGCCCCTGTGCTGAGGGCCCCTGTGCTGAGGGCCCCTGTGGTGGGCCAACACCTGCCTCACTCCCACCAGGAGCAAGTGTGGCCCCGAGGGACGTGTGTAGCAGGAGGCGTCCCAGGATTATACGATATTGGAGCCATATAAACCATAAGGGCATCCGGGTCCCTTCTTCCCCAGCGCCCCCGGGTGACCCCCCCCCCCCCCCCCCGACACACGTGAGATGCTCTCCTACACCCAACCCCCATAACAGAAGGGCTTCGCTACCCCCACCCTCAAGGAGGTTACCTTGAGGTGCAAGCACGAATACACATGTTCTGATGTTCTGTTTAGGGGTCTTTATTTTTCTGGGGCCCGGCTTGGCTTGTGAAAACTTGATCCAAAAGGCTGTTGTTGCTTGGAGCGGACCGCAGACTTACGTGACCACTAAACCCGGCTGGTAGGCCACTTCTTGCTGGAAAACCTGAAATTGTTTAAGAAGTCCACCAATGTGGACATCAGGAAGGATACCTGATCCACCAGGCTGTGATTCATACGTCAGGCTGCCAGAAGCCGCGTCCAACAGCCTCGTTGACCAGTCTAGCAACGAGGAGGCCTGGGCGATGACCGGGCCGACCACACCAGCTGTGGTCCTCGCCCCTCGGGGCCACACCAGCTGTGGTCCTCGCCCCTCGGGGCCACACCAGCTGTGGTCCTCGCCCCTCGGGGCCACACCAGCTGTGGCCCTCGCCCCTCGGGGCCCACAAGAGCAACCTTTACTCCTGCTCGAGCGCCTCTCAGACCTCTGCATTTGTAGACGAGTTTCATTAATGAAGGCAATACACAAGGAAACAAGCGAGTCCCAGCCAGTTACCGGCGCCTGCCTTAATTAACTAGCGTCCACGAGCAGTGGTGATTATGGTCATTAGACTTGTCTCCGCCTGCTACTGCCACACTTACCAGAGCTCGGCGTCACGTCCACCTTCAGCGTCTCAAGTCTGAAATGTAAACATAAATGATTTATTAAAATGCGACCAACAGGTATCACAGCAATTCATCACCTGTAATATTTTATTAATATTTTGAACGATTCACAAATAATCACGTGACAAATCAATATATGAAAATTAGAAATTTGTCCAGAATGTATTCATATAACTAAACTAAATGCGACTAAATCTGGCATGATCGTAGAGGACCTTCCTTAAAGTGTAGCCTAACCTGTTCCGCCACTGGCCGACTGAGCTGCGGGAGACACTAAAACACGAAATTCGGAGTTGGGGAGGACCCAGGAAGGTCGACAACACGAGATCCTTACACGGGTATAACCCAGGTGAAGAGTGTATGTCCTCAAGTCAAGCCTGGACCCGGGCCGGGCTCGGGGAGTAGAACTCCCAGAACCCCATCCAGGTACACTGAGGCTCGTCACTGGGGTGTGTGCTCGCGTGTCTACCTTATCATCGTTCCGGGAATCACCCTGCCCGTAGCCCGGACCTTGACTAAGTCTCCTGGTTGGTGGTGGTCTGGTCAACCAGGTTGTTGGAGGCCGTTGCTGGCAGTCTAACGACGGTCGCAGCTAACACACACACACACACATTATGAGAAGGATTAAAACAGAAGAGGACTGTTTGAGGCTTCAAGAAGACCTAGACAAGCTGAAGGAATGGTCGAACAAATGGTTGTTAGAGTTTAACCCAACCAAATGTAATGTCATGAAGATAGGTGTAGGGAGCAGGAGGCCAGATACAAGGTATCATCTGGGAGAGGAAATTCTTCAGGAGTCAGAGAAGGAAAAAGACTTGGGGGTTGATATCACGCCAGACCTGTCTCCTGCAGCACATATCAAGCGGATAACATCAGCGGCATATGCCAGGCTGGCCAACATACGAACGGCATTCAGAAACTTGTGTAAAGAATCATTCAGAACTTTGTATACCACATATGTCAGGCCAATCCTGGAGTATGCAGCCCCAGCATGGGGTCCATATCTAGTCAAGGATAAGACTAAACTGGAAAAGGTTCAAAGGTTTGCCACCAGACTAGTACCCGAGCTGAGAGGTATGAGCTACGAGGAGAGACTACGGGAATTAAACCTCACTTCGCTGGAAGACAGAAGAGTTAGGGGGGACATGATCACCACATTCAAGATTCTGAAGGGGATTGATAGGGTAGATAAAGACAGTCTATTTAACACAAGGGGAACACGCACAAGGGGACACAGGTGGAAACTGAGTGCCCAAATGAGCCACAGAGATATTAGAAAGAACTTTTTTAGTGTCAGAGTGGTTGACAAATGGAATGCATTAGGAAGTGATGTGGTGGAGGCTGACTCCATACACAGTTTCAAGTGTAGATATGACAGAGCCCGATAGGCTCAGGAATCTGTACACCTGTTGATTGACGGTTGAGAGGCGGGACCAAAGAGCCAGAGCTCAACCCCCGCAAACACAACTAGGTGAGTACACACACACACACACACACACACACACACACACACACACACACACACACACACACACACACACACACACACACACACACACACACTGTGACCGTGTACGTCAGGATTTAACACCCAAAAAACTGGGGTTGAAGGAGGGAAGGTACCCAATAAGCCCGGGAGATATTTTATTGTTGCTGCCGGAGGCTGGTAGTTCAGTGTGCACTCCATCCTCACCCTGTGAGCGGTGACGCGAAACAGCATAACAGAAGCCAGGGAGAGTCTTCTACAGTCCGCTTCCTGGGAATCGCCGCGCTCCCTTGCCAGCTAAAAATACCTTAAAAAATCTCCCAGGGCTGGAACACCTCAGGACGGAGCAGCGTTGTGTACTAAACACTCGAGGTGCGACCATCACAGGCTGCTCAAGTACAGGAAATATAACTACAATACAGGAAATAAAATGACTTCAGGCTGCTATAAGTGGCGGTGGGAGGTGGCGATGCTGGCAGTATTGTTGATGATGTCATGGTGGTTGGGAGTTAAGTCAGTTGTTTACCTGTGGCCGGTTTCAAGGATTCTGGTTATTTAAGTGCTAATCAGTAAGGTAGTTGGTGGCAAGTGGCTGCAGAGCCACAACCGACCTGGACCAACACTTCCTACATAACATGACTTTAATTTAATTAGACCAACTTCTGAAAATTAAGAATCTGCTAAGAAAGTCCTTCAAGCCAGGAGCCAAACACCGTCTTGCTTGGGGACCTAAACCTACGGCAGCTAAAATGGAAGAATGTGGCACTACAGTTGTACCAGAGAATCCCAGGAATTAGTCTAATTGAACAACCACACACAAACACCTCTTACGGATGTGTGACATTTGCTTTAAACGAGTAAATAGTAAAAACAAGAAAATAAAACACCAGACCTTATTTCCACAAATAAACATGAATTCACCAGGACCATAATGATTGACCAGGACCATAATGATTGACCAGGACCATAATGATTGACCAGGACCATAATGATTAACCAGGACCATAATGATTGACCAGGACCATAATGATTGACCAGGACCATAATGATTAACCAGGACCATAATGATTGACCAGGACCATAATGATTGACCAGGACCATAATGATTAACCAGGACCATAATGATTGACCAGGACCATAATGATTGACCAGGACCATAATGATTAACCAGGACCATAATGATTGACCAGGACCATAATGATTGACCAGGACCATAATGATTAACCAGGACCATAATGATTGACCAGGACCATAATGATTGACCAGGACCATAATGATTAACCAGGACCATAATGATTGACCAGGACCATAATGATTGACCAGGACCATAATGATTGACCAGGACCATAATGATTGACCAGGACCATAATGATTGACCAGGACCATAATGATTGACCAGGACCATAATGATTGACCAGGACCATAATGATTAACCAGGACCATAATGATTGACCAGGACCATAATGATTGACCAGGACCATAATGATTAACCAGGACCATAATGATTGACCAGGACCATAATGATTGACCAGGACCATAATGATTAACCAGGACCATAATGATTGACCAGGACCATAATGATTGACCAGGACCATAATGATTAACCAGGACCATAATGATTGACCAGGACCATAATGATTGACCAGGACCATAATGATTGACCAGGACCATAATGATTGACCAGGACCATAATGATTGACCAGGACCATAATGATTGACCAGGACCATAATGATTGACCAGGACCATAATGATTGACCAGGACCATAATGATTAACCAGGACCATAATGATTGACCAGGACCATAATGATTGACCAGGACCATAATGATTAACCAGGACCATAATGATTGACCAGGACCATAATGATTGACCAGGACCATAATGATTAACCAGGACCATAATGATTGACCAGGACCATAATGATTGACCAGGACCATAATGATTGACCAGGACCATAATGATTGACCAGGACCATAATGATTGACCAGGACCATAATGATTCACCAGGACCATAATGATTGACCAGGACCATAATGATTGACCAGGACCATAATGATTGACCAGGACCATAATGATTCACCAGGACCATAATGATTGACCAGGACCATAATGATTCACCAGGACCATAATGATTGACCAGGACCATAATGATTGACCAGGACCATAATGATTGACCAGGACCATAATGATTGACCAGGACCATAATGATTGACCAGGACCATAATGATTGACCAGGACCATAATGATTGACCAGGACCATAATGATTGACCAGGACCATAATGATTGACCAGGACCATAATGATTAACCAGGACCATAATGATTCACCAGGACCATAATGATTGACCAGGACCATAATGATTAACCAGGACCATAATGATTGACCAGGACCATAATGATTGACCAGGACCATAATGATTAACCAGGACCATAATGATTGACCAGGACCATAATGATTGACAAGGACCATAATGATTGACCAGGACCATAATGATTGACCAGGACCATAATGATTCACCAGGACCATAATGATTCACCAGGACCATAATGATTGACCAGGACCATAATGATTGACCAGGACCATAATGATTGACCAGGACCATAATGATTGACCAGGACCATAATGATTATAACAAATAACTGTTACTCACAAAAAATCACAACCTAATTAAAAAAAAATCCCAAGTGAAGTACAGACAGCATGGGCAAAAGACCTGCGCATCCAGTCTAAAATCCTAGAAGAGGAAAATTCAGCAAATTCAATTTTAATAAAAACATACTAACAGGGAACTAACGAACCAAAACCTCACAGAAATAAGCTTGAAAGAATAACTAGAAAATGCAAATTTAAACCATCATCTAGTAAAGATAGGTTCAGCAGCTGTAGTCATACACTCAGTCACCTGCCTCTAGATAGAGATGCAAATAGGAACGACAACGATGCTCTCTTTATAGACGAAGAAAACAAATCACAAAACGACTTGAACGCCCAACTCTCCCAGAAACGCCAAGGAAGGTTTTGTAGAGAAACAGAAAATATTGAGCTGAAGCTACAAGACTCACAAAATCTAAGCGAGGCAGAGAGAGCAAAAGGCCATAAGTGAAATAGAGAGGAATCCAAAATATTTTATATTCTATACAAAATCAAGAACATTCACATCCAGTATTGGGCCCTACGCAAGGGTGATAAAACATTCACAGATGATAATGATCAAATAAATGAGTGAAATGCTGAGGATATAGTACGATTCTGTTTACACTAAACACACTGAAGACTGATAACTCCCAATGACTTCTTCATGAATGTGATGCCAACATCAAATCATTCATCAGATGTCATCCTACCCTCACTGGACCTGGAAGTAGCCATAGGAAGTATGCCTGTGCACTCTGCACCAAACCCAGACTCCTGGAATTGTTCCAGGAGCTTCTAGCCTGGAACTAACTGGTCTAGCCTGGTTACATTGAGTTGGATTCGGGGCTTAGCGTCCCCACGGCCCGGTCCTCGACCAGGCGTGGTCAACCAGGC